AAGGAGATATAAATGAAAACCACTGCAATCTCACTCCAGTAACAGTGACAAAGTTTAACAGGACAGCAAGTAATAAACTGTGTTGATGGGATTGTAAAATGGTACAACTACTCTGGAAAGCAGTTTAGCATTTGCTCAGAAAACTGAACACAGAAATTTCATATGACCCAGCTATTCTACTGCTTTGGAATACACCCCAAGAAAATGAGAACTGAGGCACAAATAGAGATTTGTACACCAATATTCATAGCAGCATTAGTCACCATTGCCAAGAACATGGAAATGGCCCAAATGTTCAAAACAATCAAATGGATTAAGAAACAATGGTACATTCGCATGATGGAATACTACACAGCACGCATGAGCAATGATTTTGTAAATCACTACCTAACATGGGAAGGACTGGAAAGCATTATGCTGAGTGAACTAACTCAGTCCCACAAGGAAAAACACTGTATAAGACCATTATTGTAGCATGTGTATGAGGATATAAGGGGGGGAGGTACGGAGCAGTGGTGTGAGGATGGGGTGAGGGGGGGTGTGTGTCGGGCGGGGCGGGTGTTAATCACAGGGTTGTACAGTTTGATGGGAGGAGGGAGGGGCAGATTAAAGAAATGGGAAAGATCCAGTGTGAAAAACAATGTATATGAACTTTGTAAGTAAACCAGTATAAAATTATAATTTTGCATTAAAAAGCACACCAACATAACATATTGGAGTGATTATGTATTACAGAAGTTACACAATGTGAATGAAGGAAACACAATGTATACAAATTGTGTTAGCAAACCAATTTAAAAAATGTTTCTCAGAAGACAGGTTTGCTAGACCTGGTCTCATGTGCTTTGCACATGTTATCAACAGAGACTAGTCCCTCGAGAAGGGTATCATGGTTTATAAAATACAGGGTCACTGCAAATGAAGATGAATTCAAGGAGATAAATTGGCACAGTGGCTGTATCAAAGGACTCAAACACAGGGACGATGACGAGCATTGTCCAGGGCTGGGCAATGCCTCATTCTGTTGTACATAAGGTCACTATGAGTGGGAATCCACAGTGCAGCAATTAACAATAGTAACAACATTCACTCTGAAGAAAAGCTTCATAAAAATAGAAATACTAGTCCTTCCCTTGAAACAACATAAATTAAAACTGAATTCTAAACTTAGTTTTGCCAAAATAAATGACCCTGGACAAGACTATTTTTGCTCTCTCAGCAGGTTTCTTCAAGTGTGTAATGTCAAGATGGTCTCTGCTACGTCTCTCATAAAAACAGACATAAAAATTAGACGCATACGAAACATGTATGTGGCAAAATCTGGCATGCTCTCCTCATTTCAAAAATGGTTTAAATCTCAGTAAAAACTCTGCCTTAGGATTTAAAACCTGAATGGACTATACTCTCCTATTTTTATAGGAGTTTACTGTGGCTGATGAAACCTATTTTGATCAAACAGGCCAAACTGAAAATACAATGACACTTAAAAAACATAATTATATTGGGAATTTCACAAACTCTTGCTCAGAGAAGTAAATCTGTGGGAAATGGAACAAAATATAATAATTCCATATTTTAAAATTTATAGATTTTTATTTCCAAGAGAATTCCATTACGGACAAGGGCAGAATACTACCTCCTGGCCACAAGAGGGAGCTAAAAAGTTGGGCCACTTAGTTTACCAAATGTATTTTGTCCACATTTTTGTACTACATACCAATTTCACTATTATCCCCACGTCGGGCCTTGTTTATGGTACTTTTTTGTTATTATTTTGACTTACAGTGCTGGTCTTTTCATGACTGGCATCTTTATAGTTATTGCTTCAGATGAGAAGGTGGTCTTAGGTGGCACTGACTTGAATGACCCATAGCTATCTTATGCATTGTTGTTGTTGTTGTTGTGTACTGTTGAGTCAGAACCGACCCATAGCTGACCCTCCAGAAAGTTTCAGAGGCAGTTAATTGCACATGAGGAGATTGTGAGTCCTTTTCCCATGGAGTAGCTGGTGGATTCAAACTATGTGTCTTTGGTTTTGCAGTGCAGTTTCCTGCCGTTAGGCCACCAGTACATCATACCTCATGCACTAATAGATTTAAACCTTGCCCTTTGCTGCACATCCTCACACTCTCCCTGGGCAGGTATAATAAGAGAAATAGAGGGCTGATTACATAAGTATCTACAAAAATACTTTTTTCCTAACATTTTTTGGGGGAGGGAGGGGGAAGCCTTGGTCTTTCCAGTAAGATTGAACAATAATGCTTTTTTTATAACTATGGAGGGAAGGTATATCCATAATAATGAATAAGCTCCGCTGTCTAAATGACTAGTATTTCTATCTTTGTTGTCATAGTCTGTAGCAGCTACACTGTGAACTCTGAGGCTGGACATTTACAGCAGTTCTAGTCCATCGGTGACTACAAAGGAGAAAGATGGGCAGTCTCCTTGGAAACCTGATAGAGCTTATTTATGAGTTGGGACTGAAAGATGGAAGTGAGTTTGTGTTTCTGAGGGAGCTCTGACAATAGAGGCTGTAGGGGTTGCACTGCTCACCCAAAGGTGACATTTCTCTGGAGTGCTGAATTCATCAGTGGCAGTGGACATGAATTTGGACTTTCAGCTTCCTAAACTGTCAAAAAATAAATCTGTCTGTTAATGCCACCCACTTGTGGTATTTTTGATAATGCAGCCTAAAACAACAAAGACATCCTCATACCAAATAATAAATGATATGAAAATACTTATGGTGTATAATAAAAACATTAGTTATCTGTTCAGAAAAATACTATTCCAGTCATACAGAACATGTGAATAACATGGCTAGATTTAAACGAGATTTGGAGTGCTCATTTCAATTTATGACCATTATTGTGTTGTTTTATGCCATCAAGTTGCCTGTGACTCATAGGCACCCTATATACAGCAGCTCTGAGTCCTGCCCTATACTGAGCTCACTGTTGCCGAGAGGCTTACCTCCATCACCCCAGTGACCATGTCAATCTCTCAGCTACAGTCTTCTCTCCTGCACTGTCCCTCCACCCTTTCAAGCATTATAGCCTTCTGAGAGGACCAGTGCCTCTTGGCCACATACCCAAAATCTGTGAGGAGCTTCAAAATCTTAGCCTCCAAGGAAAAATTTGCTTTCACTCCCTCCGAGACAGACTGACTTATTTTCTTGGTGGTCCATGATATGTTCAAGACTTTCCTCCAGCATCACAACTCAAAGGGCTCTATTCTTCTTTGGTCATACGACTCAAAGCGACCATATGAACAAGAGATCTGAACCTTGTTCTATCCTTCACCACTCTCAGGATCTCTGTTTTGCTCAAACCCATCATGTTAGTAACTGTGTCAGTTCATCTCATTAAGGGTCTTCCTCTCTTTAAGTGACCTTCTACTTTTTCTACCATGATGTCTCTCTCTACAGAATAATTCATCCTAAAAATAAGCCCAAAGTAAGTGAGACAAAGATTCACCATCCTTGTCTCTAAGGAACACAATGCCCACATTTCCTTCAAGACAAATATTTGTTCTCATGGAAGTCCATGTTATATTCTAATGCTCTTCATCAACATCACAATTCAAATGCATATATGTGTGTGTGCGTGTGTGTGTGTGTATGTGTGTGTGTATAGAGAGACAGAGTTGTTGTTATGTGCCATCGAGTCGCCTGTGACTCACTGCAACCCTATGTACAACAGCCCTAAACCCTGCCCTATCCTGTGCCAATCTCACTGTCTCTGACAAACCTACCCCCAGTCACTGAATCAATCCATCTCATCGAGAGTCTTCCTCTCCTGCACTGTTTTTCCACCCTCGCAAGCATGACCTCCCTCTCCAAGCACTGTCCAAGCAACATGTCCAAAGAATGTGTGTGTGTGTATACACATATCTATATCTATCTATATAGTTGTTGACTGCCGTAGAGTTGAGCACAATTCACAGTGACCATATGAACAAAAGACCTGAAGCCTTTCTATAACTATTGTCGTTTATCAAAGTTCATAGAGTTTACAGAGGCATGTTGTTTAGGAAGTGGATGCCACTCTTGTGTGTGGATGGATAGATAGATAGATAGATAGATAGATAGATAGATAGATAGACAGACAGACAGACAGACACAGGTAAACTATGTAACATTTCTTAAGATTCTTTATCAAGATATTATAAAAATCCAAAGATTCTTGTCTGCTATATTCTGGGTGTTTAATTAGCGAACTCACAGTATTATGCTCATCTACATTAAATCTATAGTGTTTCTGCTCTTCTGATATTCTCATGAGAAAACACTAAAACAAAATATCATCTTGAGCTTCAGTGGTATCAGAGTGAGAGTGGAGAATAAGACTGAATATGGCTTAGGGGATAAAATGTCCCTCCTTCCACTTGCAAGAAAATGCATCTGCAATAACCTTACACTGTCATTTCTATGGACACAGCTCTTTACATACAAGGAGCCTCATGGATCAGCCAGTGGAACAGTCCACAACACTCTAGACTCCTCAATTCCTCTTTAACAGCAGGGTGAATGTCATCTGTAAAATACTAGGGTACCAAGACAAATCTTCAGAAAATTGTATTTCAGATAGTTAGATATCCACCAAACTCACTACTGGGGAGTCAAATTTGACTCACAGCAACCCTGCACTGTGTTTCTGAGGATGTAAATATTTGTGGGAGAGACTGGTTGGTAGATCTTAACGGCTGGCCTCTTACACAGCAGAATGATGAGAAATGCAACTGGACAGCAGGAGTTATGTTTCTAAAATACGCCTATTGTTGTTGTTAGATGCTGTTGAGTTAGATCTGACAAATTCATGAGTCAATCTGAACTTGATAGCAATGAGGTTTTGGCTTTTTAAGTTTTGTATTTCTTTACTCTTTGTAGGGCACTGCATTTATCTTAAATATGTTTACATGTATTCTCTATCACTAGAAAAAACAATTGAGAAGTCACAACATAGCATTTACAATAAAAATAAAAAGCAGAAAAAGCATACCTGGGTAATCTTCAGACACATGTACTGCATATGATACACTGTTAAAAGAGGAAAAACAAATAAAAAGAAGCTCAGGTTACTCCAAAGACATTTAGAAAAGAAAAACAAAGCAAACACTATCCATTCATTTATACAGCTATAAATGTAAATAAATAATATCCAAAACATATTAGAAAACTCACTTGCTATTTGAAACAGAAACATGGGTTTGTAACATTCATGTTCAATGAGCCTAAATGTCCTTTCTAGAACAGATTTCAAAAATAAACTATTTCTCTCAATAGTAATTTTTCAATTAGCCTCTTCATTTCATCCATGTCTAATATCCCTGAATTTACAATTATTTTTGTTCAGATGTTTTTATAAAATTTCTGTTTCTTAAACCGCAAACTATTCTTCCCCAAACCATTCTTGTATTTAGTATGGTACTGAAGTAGTTCATAATTTGTTTCAATAACAAGAATTTAAATATTCCTTTTAAAACATGTTAATAATAATATATTGTGCTTTTTTTTAAAAAGTACTTTCTTCCAAAGCTTCTAAAATCATATCTCAACTAAATATGATGATGAAAATATGACAAATATTTGATTGTTTTATTAGTCCATTTTTCATTATCACTATGAAAATGTTATGCAGACATGCATACATACACACACACAAACACAAACTCACTCTCTCACAGAAGCTTATAAGGAGTAATGTCTCTCCTTAGTCTTCATGTGGGCCAAATCCAACAGCATGTACTCACATGGTTGTTTTGTTTCTGTTTTGTCTTCAAGGGAAAAAGATACTTTTCCTCTTTTTTATTATTTTGTTATAATAGTTTTAAAGACCCCAAACCCAGACTATTGGAGCAACGGACCGTGAGTGGGATATATGGCGGTAAGGAAAAGGACACAGATCTGGGTGTGAGTGCCTTGACTTTGGAGGGCCAACTCTTAAGTCCACGGCTGCTCAATACTCAGGCAGGTGGAGTAGTGTGTAAGAACAGACATTTCCTTCTTGCTCACTTCCTCTCACTAGCACTCCACTTTCCACCAACCCAGGCCAACAGTTCCAGTTATGGCAGCAAAGAATACTAGAAGTAGCCTGCCACAGTTTTTCAAATACAGTTAACAGAGTATCCAAATAACAAAAGCATCCTACTTGTCTTATTTCACAGAACTTATCACAGACGTTGGCAAGAGCTCTGGTATCCTAATGGTTAAGGAACTTCACTGCCAATTCAAAGGCACATATTACACTGTCCCTGAAAACTTGCTAGAGGGTCAGCTGTGAGCCAGTTCCAGTTTGAGGGTCCAACAACAAAGTCATGGACTTTAAGCAATATTAGCTAGTGTACCGAAAAACTAAACCCATTGTGGTCAAATATATTCCAACACAGGGTAGGAAGTGACTGTCCACCTCTTTCTGTCTCTGGTGAACTAGAGCTGATGATCTGAAAGCTAGCAGCTCAAGTATCTATACCATCAAGGCATGCTCTCTCATTCTCTCCTCGCTCCATATATACATACATACCAATGTATATACCTCTGCACATATACACATATATGTGGAAAAGAGGATGTAAAAGACTTACCAAATGTGTTTAAAATATCCAGTTATTTAAAAAAACAAACAAACAAAAAAAGTCCTCCAAGAGGTTTTTGGATTAAAAGCCTCTAGGAGGTGAGGTCTCTACATGTAATTTTATCTCGCGGCTCAGGGGTAAGGGGCTGTGCTGTCAACACAAAGATAGGCAGTTTGATTCCCCCAGCTGTTCTGTGGGAGAAAGCTGGACAGCCTCCTCCTATGCACTTCACTGAAAATCCGCTAGAAGGTCAGCTGTGAGTCAGTTCCAGTTCCACAGTACACAAGAATAACCATGTGTATATGTTGTTTATTGCATCATATATTGCTCAATATTAGTTTTCTGAATAGTTGAAGGGAGCTGCCAACCTACCTACCACAAAGGAGTCAAAATTTTTTTTTGAGTTCTGCCAAATTTAGACAGCTAAAATAAACCAAACTTATACACACTCACTACACACACACACCAACCTCTGGGAAGGAACATACACATTCCTTCCAAAATATTATCAACACACAAAGAACAGTTTAAAATCCAAAATTACGTGATATATATTAAAAAAACACACAAAAAGTTAACAACTTATGTTTAAGAAAGAAAACAACAAAAGCAATGATCCTTGTATATCTCAATTGTTGGAATTACTCAACAAGGATATTTGTTAGACATAAAATCTGTCCTTTTAAATACATATTAAAGATGTAAAGAAAAACATTATTAGCATGGATGAAAACTATAAAAATTTCTAAATTCAATTATCTAAATATCTAAATTAAAAATAGTATTTGAAAAAAATATTGTGACTGTCTAAGGTAATAGCATAATGGAGATAAGGCAAGAAGAAGAAAACTTAGGCAAAGTTTGAAGAATTTTCCAATATACAAAAAAGGTATGCAGTTACATATATAATTACAATTTTAGAGAGGACAGAAAATAATGCAAAAGTAATTTTTAACATCTGTTATGATTAAAATTGTGAAATCTCAAACAGAATGATGTTGAAAAACCACACCATGGTATGTATAGTTAAATTGCTAAAAATAAAAAATGACAAAAAGAAATTAAAGGTTTCTGAGACAAATAAGGCATTACATTTAGGGAACAATAAAAAAATATTAATGCTGAAAAATAACTAAATTGTAATTTTACAAACATATTGGAATATTCAATCCAAACAAAAGCAGGCTAGAACAAAAAGTGGAACAGAAAAGACAAAACAAAGAGTAAATTGCACTTGAAACCAATTGTATTAATAATTACATTAAATGTTACTATACTACACACACTAAACAGATGGTTAGATTGCTAGAAAGAATGTTCTGGCATCTTTAAAAGAGCTCATATTAAATATAAACAAATATAAGGATAAAGATGAACTAGTATGCTTCCAAATAGATGTATTAAACCTGGAAATCTCAAGAAGTAGTTTTATTCTTTTCTACAGGCTTACTATGAGTTGTGATCAACTGGATGGCAGAAGATTTGGTTTACTTTTTATTTTAAAATAATTACCGATTCTCAAAATGCTGCAAAGATAGCATAAGGAAGGCTCATGTAGGCCACACATGATTCCCCCTACTAAAACCTTACATTGGTATAAAGTATGGATAGTATTTCAAGTCTGATTTTAAAAATAATCTTAAGAAAAGATCTGATGCATTGAACACCACTAACCAAAGACCAGAAGAGTTGTGAGAGCACATCAAGGATATTATCAATGACGAAAACACAAGATCATTTAAAAGCAGTAAAGTAAGAAAGAAAGACCAACACTTATGTAGAAAAGACTCTGAAACTTGCATGAAAATGGAGATAGATCAAAACAAAGATACAATGAAGAGAGCTAAACAGAAGATTTCGAAGACAGCTCAAGAAGACAGAGCAGTGTTATAATACAATGTATAAAGAGCTAGAGTTTGAAAACCAAAAAGGAAGCACATAGTTGGTATTTTTTAAAATTGAAAGAACTGAAGAATAAATTAAAGATCTGAGTTGTAATACTGGAAGAATTCCATGGACGATATCCTGAGTGATGTGGGAAGCATCAAAAGAAGATGGCACAAATACATGCAGTCACAGTAGAAAGAAAAATAAAACAAAAAACCACAACTGATCAACAATAAAGCATTTGAGAAAGTAGCATATGATCAAAAGTAATAAAGGAAGACATTCACGCTTTGCTGAAGACACTGGCAAAAATATAATGTTCCTAGTAACTGACGGAATATTAATGAATATAATTCCTCAAACAGATGCAGTCCTGAAAGTGCTCACTACCCTATCCAAAGAAATTTGGAAGACAGCTATTTGGCTAAATAACTGAAAGAGATACACATTTCTATCCATTAAAAAATTCAATAGAGTGTGAAAATTATCAAACAAAACTGTTCATATCATATGTAATTAAAATCTTTCTGAAGATTATTAAAAAAACAACTGGAACAGCACACTGACAGGGAACTACTAGAAACTCAAGTTGTATATAGGAAAGGCTGTGATATAAAGGGTATCGCGGGTGATGTCACATGGATCCTGAATGAAACCAGAGCTTAGTTGTGTTTTACTGGCTATGCAAAGGTTTTGACTGTGAAGATCATAACAAATTATGGTTACTACTAGGAAGAATGATAATCCCAAAACACTTGATGGTGTCTATGCATAGACAAAGAAGCACTTGTCCAACACAAGGGAAAAGTGCAAGGTTAAAAATCTGGAAGGGAATGTATTATGGTTCTTTTCTTCATCCTCCTCTAATCAATTATGCTGAGCAAATCATTCGAGAAGTTGAACCCTAAGAAGGAGAATATGGCATTAAAGATTGGAGAAAAACTCATCAACAACCTGCCTTATGCAGATGACACAATCTTCTTTGGTGAAAATGAAGAAGACCTAAAGTACTTATAGTCTTCAATATGAATTAGAGGAGCAATATGATGTCACAACAGGTTAAGAAAAAAATTGAAATTTCAATTCTTTCATTTCACTTGGATCCAAAATCAACATCCATAGTAGTCATAGAAAAGAAATCAAAAGACATGTTGCCCCACGTGCTAAAAAGCAACAATAACAGTCTGAAGATTTGATGTGTCTGATTCAAGCTATTTTCATTTGTTCCCTATTAATCAGAAAGTTGGACAGAAAGAAGACAGAAGAAAGGATGCCTTTGAAATGTGGTAGTGGAGAAGGGTAGTCAATGGGGAGGGGAATGAATATCCCATGGACTGCAAGAAGAATGAACTAGTCTCTCTTTGAGGAAGTGCAACCAAATTTCTTCTCAGAGGCCAGAATGGTGAACTTTGTCTCACATACTTGGGGCTTGTTGTCAGGACTGGCCAGTCCTTGAAAACTGACATCATACTGGGAAAGGTGGAAGGTCAGAGAAAGAAAGGAAGACCTCAACAAGATGAAATGACACAGTATCTGTAACAACGGGCTTGAGTCTGCTGGAAATTGTGAAGATAGCAC